GGCAGCACTTCATGATGTTTAGGTTTACCTTGTGCACATTCATGGAGGGGAACAGGTTCTGGAACATAGTGGCCATGACCTTCACGTCTATGCCATGGGGCCGAAGCTGTAGAGCACCAGGAGGGGAGGGTGAGCATCCCTTGGAGAGTGCCACCAGACCACCCAAATACATACAGTCGGAGGTTGCCCAAACAGATGTTATGCACTCATGACTATAAAAAAAAAATATACATATATATATATATATATATATATATATATGCAGCCAAAACTTAGTCACATGGCATGACCACATTTAGCTGCAAGGGAGGCTGGAGAAATGATGTTTTTATTCCAGGTAGTAATATGATGAGAAGAAAATTGGAAGAAGGGGAGATTCTATATTACAGGACAATTAGCAATCATTGCCAAACCTGGATACACCTTATCTATGGTAGGCACCTCACTGACATTTCTCATTTTACTGTCTAACACCGATATTTTTGACAGTGTGCACACTGTAAAATTATATAGTAATTCCTTCTAAATTTCAATTTTTAACTTAAATATTTCCACATTCAGTTGTATCACCTCTCTCTGGAATAGGGACAAATATACATCTCTTCCAGTCGGTTGGCCAGGTAGCTGTCTTCCAAATTTCTTGGCATAGATGATTGAGCACTTCCAGCACTGCATGCATATGTTGAAACATCTCAATTGGTATTCCGTCAATTCCTGGAGACTTGTTTTACGCCAAGGGCTTCAGTGCAGCTTAGACTTCTTCCTTCAGTATCATCAGTTCTTGATCATATGCTACCTCCTGAAATGACTGAATGCCGACTAATTCTTTTTGGTACAGTAACTTTGTGTGTTCCTTCCATCTTCTTTTGATGCTTCCCATGTTGTTCAGTATTTTGCCCATAGAATCCTTCACTATTACAACTCGAGACTTGAATTTTTTCTTAAGTTCTTTCAGCATGAGAAATGCTGAGCAGTTCTTCCCTTTTGGTTTTCTAATTTCAGGTCTTAATCACCACAAAATTCAAGTAATATTCACAATCAAATTCTCCAGGGGGAAAAACAGAAAAAGCCACTCAAATTATTTCAAAGGTTGCTTTGTAAAAGAGTAACAAATATATGTTAAAATATTTAGTAAAAATACTTAAAAAGGAGAATGTAGCTATTGCATTAATGAAATCACATATAAACAAAATTGCCTGTAAATGAAATTACATCAAGACTCTCAGAGAAGACAGAGGATTTGGGAGGAACTAAAGAAAAAAATCTGTGGATTTTTTTATTAGACTTCCTATAATTACTGTTTAGAAATGTTTAATCAAGTAAGAGATGATCACAAAACAGAAGAGTAACAATTACAATGCTGGAATAAAGCAAAAACTAAGTTGAGTCCAAGATATCAGAGTATGTGATTTGGACAAGCGACTTTATGCATGATGCTTATGATGAAGGGACAACAGAATTTAGTATGCGCCAGCCATTGTGCTAAGTGTTTTATAAGCATTGTTTCATTTAACATTCACAACACTCCTGATATGTAAATATTATCACTATTTTAGAGAGTAAAAAACTGGGTCTTAGATTAAGTAATGTACTCTAGATCACAACAGCTATATAAATAGCAGAGCGCAAACTTAAAAGATTGTTCTGAACCCAAGTTTCTGTCCTTAACTATTATGTATATTATCTTCTCTTAAACTCTCTGGATGTTGGTTTTCTAATCTGTATATAAAGGGTTACAATCTAAACTATTCTAAAATTCATTCTAGTCTTTAAGATGTTGGTATTCTGGTGAGGTTTGACCCCTTTTTCCCAAATAAAAACATACTATATCAATAGACGTAATTGGCTTCCTTGCTAGAACTTATATAAGTCAATAAAGTTATCATTAATATATATAATGCAGACAGTAGAAATTCATTTATTAAAAGTAGTAGATAAAAGAGCCACAGTGTACAATGAAGGTAAATTTGAAGGTTTGGAATAAAACCCTGACCTTTCCTGTTGATTTCACACCCCTTGGTGTATCTGTAAAGCAGCAAACCATAAAGTAATATGAGTAAGAGGAAAGAAAGCTAATTAACATTATATCTAAATCTAACAATTCTATGAAATATATGCAATACATCGTTTTGCAGGTGAACATACTATCTCAAAGAGGCTGATTTGCTGAAAGTCACATAACTATATGTAGTGACATCAGCACTACCTGGTTCTAAATCTATGCTCTTTCTTATCCCCCATTTTCTTATGGTTCAATTATGGATATCCATGTATTAATATTCTTATTTTAACATAAAAATATAAAGATACTAATTAATTTAGCACTTTCTGGGGTATTTATGATTACCAGCAAACATTTGCTGAGTACTCATTTGTTGAGAACAACAGAAAGATATATGTTAAAATAGACAAAATATAAGGAAATGTATCTTATCTGTAATACAACAGTGATAAAGATTAAGCATTACCAAACTACTAGGGAAAGAGAGTCACTTTCAATTAGGATGAGTAGGGAAGGCTTCAGAGAGATAACTACATGTAGACAAGGCATTAAAGGCAGGTTTGATTTCAAACGATGAAATAAAGGAAAAGTCTGGAAAGAAGGACAATATTCCAAGTAAAAGGAATGGCAGGAATTAAGTATAGAGGCATTAAGTAATAATTAATTAAGTATCCAAGGTAGAGTATATAGTCCATATTGGATAGTGTAGGGTTATTGTTCTTAAATATCATGATATATGGCCGGGAAATACGCTGGTGCTGAACTAAGCAGAGATCGTGAATATCAAGTTAGAAAGTCTGGATTTAATCCAGGAGACAATTAGAAGTCACTAAACATCTCCAAATAGAGAAGTAAAAGAATCAGAGCCATGCTTCAATAAGATTAAACTGAGGATTATGTAAAGGCTACAGTGGAATTGATGACAGGAAGGAAAAAGACCAGTCAGAAAGTTCTGGCATTTCTGTGCATTGTAACATAGAGAAAAACTGGACGTCTCCTGACTATTGAAAATTTTTGAGGAAATATCAATATAAAGTGTGTATTACTATATATATACATATATATACATATACTAAAGCTTCAGCTCTGAAACAATCTAATATCCCCCCTCTCTAATCACAAGGTTCTACTCTTTTAGATCTTACATCGCCAGCTTATTTACCTCTGACCAGTCCCCTGACCTCTCTACTATCTCTGAATATATCAGCCTTTTACTGGCCTCACTTCTTTCTAGCCTCAAAGGCAGTAACTTGAACTACTCTCTCACTAGCACCCTCAGTCTGAATCAGTGCTGAAATCTACCTTCTCTTCTCCACGACTCAAAAGGCTGGAGAAAACCTCACCGCCCTGACATTATTATAAAATAGTGGTTTCTAATCTCAGTCACTTATGAACCTCTCAAAAGTAATGAACGCTTCTGAGTCTTTAACTAATTTAACATATGATAACATTGAAAATTATCTCTCTTCCTGAAATTCTTGAATTTAGAACAGTTGCAGGAGTCCCTGGATGGTGCAAATACTGAAGCACTTGACTACTAGCCAAAAGGCTGGTGGTTCAAACCCATCCAGAGGCACCTTGGAAGACAGGCCTAGCAGTCTTCTTCAAAAAAGCCTGCCTTGAGAGCCCTATGGAGTAGTTCTATTCTGGACACATGGGGTTGACATGAGTCAGAATCAACTCAACAGCAACTAACAAAAATCACAGATGGGCTGAAGATAAATACTCTTAATCTTACCCTAAAAATGCACTGTGATAGTAAGCATTTTTTAATTCTTAAAAACAAAGAGGAAAAAAAAAAAAAAAAAACACTTTTTCATCCAAGCTAATTTTAACTGTTTTCATTGTAAAGCACTAAATGCTAAACAGAAGGTTACTACAGAAATATGTCCATATTTTGATGTTAAATATCCTGTTAGGATAATAAAGTTCTGATGAAGAAAATACAAATAAGCGAAGAGCTACAAATCAAAGAGTTAAACAGTTCCCTTAGGAAAATGAATGAATAGGCCATAAACATCAGTGGACTAAATGATGGCATAAAGTCTAAAAATACAATAGAAGTTCTCTCTAGCCTCTGAAAAAAATATTCGACTTAACAAATAACCCAGTTTTGAAATAAAACGTTAGAACATAATACAAAGATTAGCTATTAATCGATTTGCATTTCTAACTATTACTGCTTCTGTACTTACTGAACAATTAAGACAGGATTAATAAAGCAAGCTCACAGAGTAAGTAGATTCACTGAGTAAATAACACTTTAAATTTATTTCCCTGCTATTTAAAAGTATTTTTCAAAAACATTATAAAATTTCATTACTATAATTCAAATTTTACTAGTTAGAATTTTACAATAATGTGGATTAAAGTCTTGGATAAAGTTTTTCTTAACATAATATAGTATTTTCTTACACACAGTAGAAATTAACACTTTAAATAAAATTAAAAATGAAAAGTAACAGTTATTTAACAGAATTATCCCTCCATATTCGGAAGACTTTTATAAATCATTTAAATATCAATGAAAATTTAAACAAGCCTAAGAATCTTTTCTAGGCTATGTTTTAATAGTCTTTTCTTAATAACTCATTACAGTCTCACTAATTTTATTTATGTAAGTTTTTCTTAATGTGGGGTCACTCTAAACTTTATGCTAATTTTCCATAAACACAAACACTAAAAAAAAAGAATGATGTTTAGAGTATGATTCACACTGAAATATGTTAATACAAGTAGGCATGTAATTTCAGTTATAAATAAAAAGTAATTTTCATTTAATTTTTTAAAAAATCCTTTAAAGCAGTGTTTTTAAAGTATTTAAATCACTAACTAGAAGTTTGAGATCTCAGTCACTGAAAATGTAAACACTCATCTGGTTGTTGGAAGAATCACAATTTAAAATTATGCATATTTTCTAACTTGGTTATAAATATTTTCTAATATTCTCAGAGAAAATGTAGCATCGTTAAGAGCTTAATTATAATTTTCATCTTACTGTAATCAACGTGGTCAATCTTGTGACATCACTGTTGAGAAATCTGCAATAGGAAAACAGAAATAGCCATCAGCTGAATCATACTTGAGTAAGTAATTTCAGAAACTAAAAAGTTTGTTTAGAATTTTTGTCTTCCTTGATGCCATAATGCCATATTTAAATTAATCTAAAGTTGCCAGGAAATATACAACTGACATGATACAAGAAAGCATAAACTACCTGGAGTTTATTTAAAGACCATTATTTATTTATTGATGCATTTAAATTACGGTGTTGGTGAATAATATTGAATATACCATGGACTGCCAGAAGAACGAACAAATCTGTCGTGGGAAAAGTACAGCCACAATGCTCCTTTAAAGCAAGGATGGTGAGACTACATCTCACGTATTTTGGACATACTGTCAAGAGGAACCAGTCCCTGGAGAAGGATATCATGCGTGGTAAAGTAAAGGGTCAGTGAAAGAGAGAAAAATCCTAACGAGATGGACTGACGCAGTGGCTGCAACAATGGGGTCAAACATAGTAACAACTGTGAGGATGGCACAGGACCGGGCAGTGTCTCGTTCTGTTGTACACAGGGTCACTGTAAGTTGGAACTGACTCAATGGCATCTAACAACAACAACAACATTCATTACAGCATGGCAAGTTATGTTCTTGTTTATAATCAGCAACATCACAAGGTTAATATTAATATATTAGAAAATAGACTATAAGACATTTGGGTTAGAAGTTTAATTTGTTTTCATATATTCACTAAGAGAAACTGTATAAAATACATTACAAACGAAAGACAGTTAGGTATTGATTATAGATACATTTCTCTCTAAGGATACCAGCTCAGCTTGGAGCCAAAATATGAGAAAGCATGTAACCTACCCAATATAGAAGAAATTGCCTCTTGCTAATCCTTACAAATAATGATGGAACAATTTAAGCCTGAAAATATCATTGGGAGGGATCCAGTCTAAACTATAAACGCAAAGGCAGTTATAAATTAAACTATTTCCTAAATTATATATGGCTTTGAATTCTTATCTGTGTAAAATCGAAGGTTTTCGGAATTTTTTCATTAAAAAGGCATAATTTAAGATGAACTTCTTACATGTTTCTATTACGGTGTTTTAAGGTTCACAACAGACTTTCAGGTGTTATTTCTTCAGATCCTTACAACAATTCCTTTACGAAGCAAGAAAGAGACATTTCTTATACACTCAGGAAAAAACAGAACTTAGAGAGGTTACATGACTTATCCAAGCACACAGGACTGTTTTCATTGGTTCTTCTTTTACCTCACACCTTCTATGCAATCTATATTGCCAACTATACTTCCTGATGTCCTCAATTCAAACACTTCTTACTACTGCTGCTGCTGTTGTAAGTTGTTTTTGAGTCGATTCCAACTAATGGCAACCCCATGTGTGCAGAGCAGAACTGTTCCATAGGGTTTTCAAGGCTGTAACCTTTCAGAAGCAGATCACCAGGCTACTGCTGCCCTGGGTGAGTTCTGACTGCCAACTTTTCAACTAGTAGTTGAATGCTTAACCATTTGCACTACCCAGGGACTTCTTGCTAGCTGAAGACACTGCTCTCTTGTATTATCATTATCATCTCCCTACTTCTACTCTTAACTCAATGGCAAATAAATCAAAATCACATTATTCCCTTTCTCAAAACTGTCCAATGACTTCCTATAGTTTAGAATAAAATCCACAATACTTACCATGGCCGATAAGGCCTTCCATCACCTGGTCCCCTGACTTCATCTCTTGCCACTCTTTCTCTACTATGTTCCAGTCACAATGTTTCTTTTTTTTTTTTAACATTCCACAAAAATACCAAACTTGTCCTACGTCAGGGCTTTAAAATTTACTGTTCCCTCCACCTGGAGCAATAATTTCTCATCCTTAAGGACTGGCTCTCTCAATTCATTCTGGTCTCATAACAAATGGCACCTCCTCAGAGAAGCCTCCCTCTGCCATGGGAGACTGCTGTTTAGCTGTAAGCTCCATGAAGGAAGAAACTATCTTGATCACTAAAGCACTAGTATAGTACTTAAAAAAACACACCCACACACATACCCGTTGCTGTCGAGTCAATTCCGACTGAAAGCGACCCTACAGGACAGGGTAGAACTGCCCCATAGGTTTCCAAGGAGCGGCTGGTGGATTTGAACTGCTGACCTTTCGGTTAGCAGCCAAGTTCTTAACCACTGTGCTGCCCAGGCTCCAGTATAGTACTAGAAGATAGTAATTGCTCAGTAAATATCTTCTGAATGAATGAACAATTACTGAGTTCCTATTGCATCTAGCACTAAGCCCAGAACTTCAGAGGATCCAAAAGGGAAGTATAAAATACAGCCTTTATTCTTACAATAATTACTATCTATTTAAGAAAAATACGCCATAACAACCTGGTATACATTATTAACAGCAAAAACAACAACAAAATCCACTGCAGGAAGAGTTTGGGAAGCTTAAAACAAAAACAAGGTAAGGCAGGAAGTGGTGAGGGTGGTGGGGACATGGGGAATGGCAAATTACAGGGGTGAGATAAGCAGGGTCTGGGGTAGTGATGATGAGGAAATGGAAAACCAAAGATACATTCTAAATGAAGAAACAAGAGGACATTCTAAATTAAGTATCAGGAACAAAGATAGCAAAGAATGAAAGATTACCTCAGGGGTTCTAACTTACCAGGAACACACTGACAGAAACTTGCAGGGATAGGTAGAGTGACTTTTGTTTTGAACAATAATTAAGCCCAGTGTTACCATAGGGAATTCAAATGGAGATGCTTCCAATCAGCATCTAGAAATTGTGATGAATAAAAGAGAGATTGAGATTCATTTATTGACTTGAAAATCAGTCATATAAAAGTAGAAGTTTAAGCCATGAATGAATCAGTTCAACAAGGGAATGAACAGAGAAAGAGCAGAATATCCTGCAGAATAACTATAAATAAGGCTCATGGGGAGCAAGAGAAGTGGCATTGTGTTTTGTTTTATTTTTTTAAGTCTAAGAGATAGAGAAATGGGAAACTGAAGGCAAAAGAGGAGAAATCTAGGGAGGTTAAAGTACTGAACAGCTTTAAATGATGCACAGAGGGTCAAAGACGATTAAGACCAGAAACATTCTCTCTCAACTATTCCTCTCCACCCCACTGTATCAAATCAAATCAAAAGAAGGCTACAGATATGAAACACATTACTTTCTATATCCAAAACACTATCTTTATTATGCCTAGCATACTGCTCTCAACTTTAGTCAATATGAAAAAGTCTTGTGACAGTAAAAGTGTCAATACAAAAAGTCTTGTGAAGAAAGAAACTGCACTTTCCATAAAACTCTATAATTCAAAACTCTGTTGTCACATTCAAACAATAGTCATAATTGAATAAAAAGATAAAAGTAAATGCTCCATTTTATTTTAGATATTTAGAAAAAATACCAAAAAAAAATTAAATCTATAGTTACAAAATGCATACTTAAAGACTTAAAGCTTACAGGGTAAAAAACTAGTGATGGCATTTCTTCCTTATGGTGGCAGTTTTTACACATGACTTACTGGGTACTTGAAATTGCATGAGCAAAAAAAATACACGACACTAGAGATTAAAATCAGACAAATCTTTTTTTTTTTGTGGGTTTTTTTTAATTTTATTTTTTTATATTTTATTGTACTTCAGGTG